CGCATCATGGGGTGCCACCGAGGCCGATATCCTCATCAAGTTCAAGAACTTCATGTCCAATATCAGTTCTCTTAGACTGGGATGAATCTGTCAGTCGCTGCAACGGCCATCGTTCAAACTGGACCGAATTGCGTTGCACCCAAAAATGTAGCCCGTTTGGACCGGCAAGTGAATATGGGTCTAATGAGTCAAATCGACATCGATACGCTCATGACTTTGCCAGAATTGTGTACTTTGGGTTTTATGAACAATGGCTTCAATGGTTCAGTGCCTAACATAAAGAAGCTTTCTTCTTTGAGAGTTTTGTATCTCTCTTACAATCACTTTACCGGAGAATTCCGAAGGATGCCTTTTCCGCTATGAAAGCTTACAAGACATACTATTAGGATAACCTAAGGGTTTAAAGACTTGTTGCACATGTTAAATATAATCATGATTTCTATGAAAATAAGTAATGTTTTATTTTATTTATTTATTTATTTATTTTATTCTTTTTATTTTGCTCAAATACTAGCAAAACTTAAGTTTAGAGGAATTTGATAAGATGCATTTTATATGCTTTAACCATTATTTTAGTCCTAATTTTGTTACTATTTGCATGAACAAGATGTGATTTTCAATAAGTTTTACACAGTTTTTATTTTTTGTGTAAAAAAGACTTAAATACAAAATAATAAAAGTTTTCGGAATTAATTGAATATCTTTTGAAAATTGAGAGACTAAATTCTTAAAATGAATGAATCTAAAGTTATGGGATAAAAGTGCTCATCATATAAAAGTTGAAGGACTAAATCTGCTATTTTACCATTAAAGATATTACAAAAGGTCGAGAAACCCAACACTGGTTTGGTGTCGACACCTATTTTGTGGCGTCAGTACTATATGTTAAGACTTTAAAAGACTAGTTCCACTTAAAAAGAAAGGTGTCAAGACTTACAAGTTAGTGTTGACCCAAAATGCCTTTTTAGTTTTAAGAATTTCCTTTTTATCACAAATCCAACTCCTTTTTTTAATAGAGTTTCCTAAACCCTATAAATACTCATTCAAAACTAGATTTTGGAGATTTTGGAGAGATCAAAAGAGAAATATTTAAGAGGAACTTAACATAAAAGAAAATTAATATTTGAGATTTTATATTGTTAAACTGATTTTA